GGATTTTAGCCAGGTCGACTGCTATGATTTCTTCTTCAGTTGCAGAATATGGACAATCCTCCAAACTGCGACATAATCCGCTACTGCCGTTCCATCACTCAATGTTCTTGTAGCGAATTCGCATCTAGACTCTATACCCGCTAGTGACTCCGCTCGCGGAAGCACTGTGAGACGGGACAAGTCGCCACAGCACGTGTCACACCATGCGGCAATGCATCATCGTGCGACGTGGTATCGCGCTCCAGGGCATTTTGCGACTCGCTGGACGATCTTGTAATATGTTCCAGTCTCGGCTGCGATCCGCGCGATATCTCAATGCGAACAGCATCTAACAGCCACGGAGCCGCACGGTAGGATGGGTTGACGGGGGGGAAAGAGGAGAAGAATGGGAAATCAGGGGGGAGTGATAGGGTGGGGGGGTAAGCGCAGAGCAGGGAAAACGGTCATCGCGGTCAACGCTGGCCAACGCTGGTCCAGCAGGTCTCGGAGTCAAGCGCTGCGGTAGCGCTGGCGAAGGCGCGGCGGCAGAACATATATTTTTGAGTTGATTCATAATTCTTTTCTTTTCAATTAACCTAATATCACCTCGTTGATGGGGGCGGCGGGTCGGAATGGACCCTGCGCGGGGATAGACGGGAGACTGCGGCAGGTCGGGAGGGGGCAGCGCGGGGAGAGGCGGAGCACAGACTGGTGGGGGGACGGGAGCATAGGTGCTTCGCGCGCGATACGGTCCGCGGCAGACGCCTTGCCGGACGGCGGCGGAGGCGGCGGAGCAGAGACTGGGGAGGGGGGAATCAGGGCTTGACGCGCGATGGAAGGGATGTTCCGCTTGCAGCGTGACGATCTGCAGCAGACACCCCGGATGGCCCGTCGCATTCAGAGGCGGAAAAAGAGGTAGATGCACGGAAAGGGATGAGGCGCGGAAAGGGATGAGGCGCGGAAAGGGGAAGAGCCGCGGAAAGGGGATGAGGCGCGGAGAGGGATGAGGTGCGGGAGATAGCACAGCAGTGAGGGGAGGTAAAGACGAGCGGTCGAAGAGGAGGCGAGCGCAACGCGGATCAGCAACGCGGGGCCGAGGGGGAGTGGCAGACTGGGGTGGGCGCGGGCGCACGTGAGGAGCGTGGAGCGTGGAGATTCATTTCGCCGCCCAGTCGCAGCTAGGGCGGCCCACTTTGGGCCGATGTACTGCAAGCTCGCAGTTCGCCTCTGGAAGCTGCTGTTTAGGCCGCCGTTCGAATCGTTAGAGTGAGTTACGGTAGCAAGGGGAAGGGGGGGTGGGAGTGGGAGGGTGGTGGGAATTTGGAGAGGCGAGGAGGGTGAGACAAAGGGGGAGCTACCGTGCGGGAAGGGGTGGATGCTGTGGTGTGCCTGGGGAAGCTGCAGTTTGCTTTGCAGTTTGGCTCGCCAGAGTGAGTGAGTCGGGGGAGAGGGGAGGGGATGGGGGAGTGGGGGAGGTGGAGGGACAGGGGCAGCCCGCTTTTGCTTTTGCGTGATGAGATGTGAAGCGTGGGCGAGAGGAGGGTTTGGGGGGGAAGGGGAAGTGGGTGTGGGGGGAAAGGGGAGGGGAGGTGGTGGCGGGGGGAGTAATGGCAAGGGGAAGGGACCACGGCAGCAGGGGGTGGGATGGGGGCAGTGCAAGAAACAGGCAAGGCAGGAAGGCACGGGGCAGAAAGGCACGGGGCAGGAAGGCACGGGGCAGGAAGGCACGGAGCAGGCATGCGGAACAGAGTTGAAGAAGAGAGGTTGTTGAGCCTCGACTGGACTAGCAGCGCGAGAGGTGGGAGGTGTGGGGGCCGCGCTGGGAGAGGGAGCAAGCAAATGGGGCGAAGTGCTTTTATTGAAGCTTCTGAGTGGCTTTTGAGGCGCTGCAAAGGTCAGGCAGCGACGAGAGGTGCGAGAGGGGCAGGCAGAGGGGCGAGTGAGGCATGGGCAGCGGCGAGTGGTGGCAGATTAGGCAGCGGCGAGCGGTGGCAGATTAGGCAGCGGCGAGCGGTGGCAGATTAGGCAGCGGCGAGCGGTGGCAGATTAGGCAGCGGCGAGCGGTGGCAGATTAGGCAGCGGCGAGCGGTGGCAGATTAGGCAGCGGCGAGCGGTGGCAGATTAGGCAGCGGCGAGCGGTGGCAGATTAGGCAGCGGCGAGCGGTGGCAGATTAGGCAGCGGCGAGCGGTGGCAGATTAGGCAGCGGCGAGCGGTGGCAGATTAGGCAGCGGCGAGCGGTGGCAGATTAGGCAGCGGCGAGCGGTGGCAGATTAGGCAGCGGCGAGCGGTGGCAGATTAGGCAGCGGCGAGCGGTGGCAGATTAGGCAGCGGCGAGCGGTGGCAGATTAGGCAGCGGCGAGCGGTGGCAGATTAGGCAGCGGCGAGCGGTGGCAGATTAGGCAGCGGCGAGCGGTGGCAGATTAGGCAGCGGCGAGCGGTGGCAGATTAGGCAGCGGCGAGCGGTGGCAGATTAGGCAGCGGCGAGCGGTGGCAGATTAGGCAGCGGCGAGCGGTGGCAGATTAGGCAGCGGCGAGCGGTGGCAGATTAGGCAGCGGCGAGCGGTGGCAGATTAGGCAGCGGCGAGCGGTGGCAGATTAGGCAGCGGCGAGCGGTGGCAGATTAGGCAGCGGCGAGCGGTGGCAGATTAGGCAGCGGCGAGCGGTGGCAGATTAGGCAGCGGCGAGCGGTGGCAGATTAGGCAGCGGCGAGCGGTGGCAGATTAGGCAGCGGCGAGCGGTGGCAGATTAGGCAGCGGCGAGCGGTGGCAGATTAGGCAGCGGCGAGCGGTGGCAGATTAGGCAGCGGCGAGCGGTGGCAGATTAGGCAGCGGCGAGCGGTGGCAGATTAGGCAGCGGCGAGCGGTGGCAGATTAGGCAGCGGCGAGCGGTGGCAGATTAGGCAGCGGCGAGCGGTGGCAGATTAGGCAGCGGCGAGCGGTGGCAGATTAGGCAGCGGCGAGCGGTGGCAGATTAGGCAGCGGCGAGCGGTGGCAGATTAGGCAGCGGCGAGCGGTGGCAGATTAGGCAGCGGCGAGCGGTGGCAGATTAGGCAGCGGCGAGCGGTGGCAGATTAGGCAGCGGCGAGCGGTGGCAGATTAGGCAGCGGCTAGCGGTGGCAGATTAGGCAGCGGCGAGCGGTGGCAGATTAGGCAGCGGCGAGCGGTGGCAGATTAGGCAGCGGCGAGCGGTGGCAGATTAGGCAGCGGCGAGCGGTGGCAGATTAGGCAGCGGCGAGCGGTGGCAGATTAGGCAGCGGCGAGCGGTGGCAGATTAGGCAGCGGCGAGCGGTGGCAGATTAGGCAGCGGCGAGCGGTGGCAGATTAGGCAGCGGCGAGCGGTGGCAGATTAGGCAGCGGCGAGCGGTGGCAGATTAGGCAGCGGCGAGCGGTGGCAGATTAGGCAGCGGCGAGCGGTGGCAGATTAGGCAGCGGCGAGCGGTGGCAGATTAGGCAGCGGCGAGCGGTGGCAGATTAGGCAGCGGCGAGCGGTGGCAGATTAGGCAGCGGCGAGCGGTGGCAGATTAGGCAGCGGCGAGCGGTGGCAGATTAGGCAGCGGCGAGCGGTGGCAGATTAGGCAGCGGCGAGCGGTGGCAGATTAGGCAGCGGCGAGCGGTGGCAGATTAGGCAGCGGCGAGCGGTGGCAGATTAGGCAGCGGCGAGCGGTGGCAGATTAGGCAGCGGCGAGCGGTGGCAGATTAGGCAGCGGCGAGCGGTGGCAGATTAGGCAGCGGCGAGCGGTGGCAGATTAGGCAGCGGCGAGCGGTGGCAGATTAGGCAGCGGCGAGCGGTGGCAGATTAGGCAGCGGCGAGTACGGCAGCGGGCAGTGAGTGAGGCAGGGAAACGGGGCAAGAGGTGCCAAGGCAGAGGGGCGCAGTAGTGTGTTTGGAAAGTGGGGAAGGTGTGAAGGCAGAGGGGTGCAGCACTGTGTTTCTCTCTGCCAGCAGGGACGTGAGGAAAGGTGTGATGGCAGAGGGGTGCACTGCACCGCTCTCTCTTCCATATCGTGTCTGTCCAACACGTTTACTGAGATATCTTATAACGGAGCCACGGCTCTCCCTGCTCTGTGTGAGTTCAGGACTGGCGAGATGCAGCCACCTGCAGCAGAGGCAGCAGAAGGCGGAGGAGGGAGGAGGCGCAGGTATGTGCCAGCATGAGCCATTCATGCACTGTGCTGCATCGCATCCCAGCCATGCACCGTTGTGACTCATGCATTGCGACTCATGCATTGTGAGTCATTCGTTACAGTAACGCTGGTGGTTGGGGTGGCGGTAGTGGTGCGTGCTGCTGATGCTGATGCTTATACTTGTGGCGGTGGTGGGGTTGGTTGGGGAGGGAGTGGTGGTGATGGTGGCGCTGCCGGTGGTTGGAGTTGGGGTGATAACGACGGTGCTGCTACTGGTGGTAAGGCTGGTGGTTGGGGTGGTGGTGCTGCTGATGCTGCTGAAGGCTGGGGGAACGATGGTGCCAGTAGTAGTGGATGGTGGGGAGGGGATGTCGATGCTGCTGCTGGGGCACAGCTGGTGGTACACCACCAATGCTGCTGCAATTGGTGATACCTGGGGGGGCACGGCCGCTGCCCTGCTGCTGCTACAGCTGCTGCAGGTGGTAATGCCTGGGGGGCCACGGCACCGGATGCACCCTCACCTCCCGCACCATCCCCTTCCTCCGATCGCCGCTCTACGTGCCCACCCAACCACGTCCTGCCACCTGTCGGCACGGTCAGCGTGCTGATTGGCTCCGAGCCTGCTGGAGGAGTCAAGGGTGGACGGTGAATAGCAGAAGCTGGGTGGTGAAGCTGCGAGAGAGGGGATGGGAGAAGGAGGCAAGGGGGCATGTCCACACTCCAGAGAACTGATCATGGCCGTCCAGACTCCAGAGGATTAATCATGGCCGTCCACACTCCAGAGAACTGATCATGGCCGTCCACACTCTAGAGGACTGATCATGAGCATCCTCATCAGCAGGAGCAGACTCAGGATCACCCGCATCAGTCTTACCTACCCCGCTTGCACCTTCCGCATGATAGAGTCAGGGAACGCACCAGCCTCTGCTGCCCTTGCAGCCTGTGTGAGGTCTGCCTTGCTTGCTGGCATTGTACACACTGTCGCTTCGCTGCAGCCGCCGCCGCCGCCGTTGCTGCTGGCGATGGTGGTGGGGATGGCGGTGATGGTTTTGGTGGTGGGGAAAAGGTGGTGGGACGGCGGTGCTGCGCTATCTGGCGGATGGAGATTGGCTGCTGTTCAACCGCACCCCGTCGCTGCACAAGCTGAACCTCATGGCGTTTCGGGTCGGGTGTGCCGCGTGCCGGCTGCTGTCTCCGCCAGCGCCCTCCTGCTGAACCCCCAGGTGCGATCACATGCCCGCTGCTGCTGTATCTGCAAAACAGCTCCTGCTAAGTTCATACAGGTATCACCAGTGCATCCGTGCGCTCGCATGTGCGTGCGCACATTGTACGCGCCTCTCTGTCACATTGTACGCGCCTCTCTGTCACATTGTACGCGCCTCTCTGTCACATTGTGCGCGCCTCTCTGTCACATTGTGCGCGCCTCTCTGTCACATTGTGCGCGCCTCTCTGTCACATTGTGCGCGCCTCTCTGTCACATTGTGCGCGCCTCTCTGTCACATTGTGCGCGCCTCTCTGTCACATTGCACGCGCCTCTCTGTCACATTGTACGCGCCTCTCTGTCACATTGTACGCGCCTCTCTGTCACATTGTACGCGCCTCTCTGTCACATTGTACGCGCCTCTCTGTCACATTGTACGCGCCTCTCTGTCACATTGTACGCGCCTCTCTGTCACATTGTACGCGCCTCTCTGTCACATTGTACGCGCCTCTCTGTCACATTGTACGCGCCTCTCTGTCACATTGTACGCGCCTCTCTGTCACATTGTACGCGCCTCTCTGTCACATTGTACGCGCCTCTCTGTCACATTGTACGCGCATCTCTGTCACATTGTACGCGCCTCTCTGTCACATTGTACGCGCCTCTCTGTCACATTGTACGCGCCTCTCTGTCACATTGTACGCGCATCTCTGTCACATTGTACGCGCCTCTCTGTCACATTGTACGCGCCTCTCTGTCACATTGTACGCGCCTCTCTGTCACATTGTACGCGCCCCTCTGTCACATTGTGCGCGCCTCTCTGTCCTGCCCCCTCCCTTTGCACAAACAGGCAGCGATTCCTTCCTTTCCTTTCGCCCATTCCTCTCCCACCTCCTCCTGTGAATCCAGGTGTGTGCAGCCAGCCATATCAGGTGAATCAGTTGGAGAGGAGGGGAACGTGTTCACAGTGCAGCAGAGCCCACCTTTTCCCCACTCCCACCTTTTTCCCCCTCCCACCTTTTTCCCCCTCTCACCTTTTCCCTCCTCCCTCCCTGTGTCTACCAGGTGTGTGCAGCCATAGCAGGGGATTTCAACAGCGACGAGGCAAATGTGTTCATGGTGCGTTAAAGCTTTATGGCAGCAGAGGCAGCAGAGGCAGCAGAGGCAGCAGAGGCAGCAGAGGCAGCAGAGGCAGCAGAGGCAGCAGAGGCAGCAGAGGCAGCAGAGGCAGCAGAGGCAGCAGAGGCAGCAGAGGCAGCAGAGGCAGCAGAGGCAGCAGAGGGCAGACAAACAGCCCCTCCCTCCTCCCCCTCCGCCCCCCTCATGCCCATCACCCCTTGCAGGTGTGTGCAGCGATCGCAGGGAGTTTTGATGGAGGCGAGGTGAATGTGTTCACGGTGCAGCAGAGTGCCGTGGCAACAGAGCAGCAGAGCTCATGTAGTCGACAAAAAACTCATCCCCTCTCTCCCCCTTCCGTCACTTCCCTCTCCACCCCTCTCTCCTCCTCATCCCCCTCCTACTCCCCCCTCTGCACCTTCCCGTTCCTCTACCCGTTGCTCTTGCCACCCCTCCTCCCGCTCCTACGCCTCCACTCCATTAGAGAAGATAGAAACATTGTATTGACTTAGGCTCGAATGAGAGGTGGAGAAGTCATAGATAGATGAGCTTTGCCAACAACTATTGGATGTCCCAAGCCAATAATTGTTGGTTTGGTTGGACCTACATTATTGGGCTCCAATAATTGTTTGAATCAACAATATTGGAGGTCTAATATTTGTTGGGAACCCAATCAAACTTCCACCACAAATTTTGGTTGAAGGTACACCCAACAAACCTGCATCTATTCTTGCATATTCATGTTTGTATAGAAGATTTTACAACACACCTCGCACACCCACGCCCACGACGCCACTCATGGCCACTCCCCGCACCGCGACCCATCAGTCATGTCTCTCCAACAAGACGTGCTGTTAGGTCTGCACCTGCTTGCGTCCCCACCCCCTTCCTCGCCCCCGCTCTTCCTCTCCCGCCCTGACGAAACCCAGCTTGCCCTGCATCTGGATGCATGGGAGGGGATGGGCCTGGTGACTGGGGAAGGGGGGGCAAGGGGAGTGCGAGGCGGAGGGGACAGTGGAAGGGGAGGAGGGTTGGTTGTTGTTGTAGATGATGTGGAATGGGGAAGGGCAATGGGGAGGGGTCAATGCAGGGATAGCAAGAAGGAAAAATGTCATAAGCACCAACAGTAGGAGAAGAAGCAAAAACATGAGCAGCAACAAGAAATCTCTATTTCCCTCTCCCACCGCCAACCATTCTCAAGTACCCCTTCCCAGACACCAGCAGCCACAGCAACAGATACAGCCCCAGCCACCATCCCCCTCCCTTTGCACCCCCGCTCTGGACATCTCTCCAGCTACTCTCCACCATCATCCCCGCACTCGGAGGAGGGATGATGATGGTGGAGAGCAGCTGGAGAGACGTCCAGAGCGGGGGTGCAAAGGGAGGGGGATGGTGGCTGGGACTGTATCTGTTGCTGTGGCTGCTGGTGCCTGGGAAGGGGTACTTGAGAATGGCTGGTGGTGGGAGAGAGAAACAGGGATTTTTCGCTGCTGCTCTTGCTTCTGCTTATTCTTCTGCTATTGCTGCTGATGACGTTTTTCCTTCTTGCTCTCCCCGCATTGACACATCCCCAACTGCCCTACCCCTGCACCCAGCTGACTTCTGTTCTTGTCGCCCCCTCTCTCACCCTGTCTTCCTGCTCCATCACAGGCTAGGTCACCCCAACTTCGCTACCCTGCGCTCCTCTGCCTCCTCCGGTCTCCTCAATGTTTTCCCCTCCTCCCTCCCTCCACTTCTGAAATCCCCATCTTCCCCCCCACCCCCCCTTGCACTGCTGTGTTCAGAGCAAGCTCAAGCAGCTGCCGCATCAGAGTTTCCCTCCGCTGCTGCTCAGCCTCTTGAGCTTGTTCTTAGTCATGCACTGTGAGTCATGCATTATTTGTCATGCATTGTGATCATGCACTGTCAGTTTCGGAAGTACAGCTAGCTACTGCTGCAATGTAATGAACAGTATGAAGTTATATACACACGTTTCAGACATGTGATTTGTGTTACATTCCACCCCAGGCCATGGTACCACCATCCACCACTCGTTGGTGCTGGGCTGAGACAAAGCCCTAGAATTCTCAATGTCCGATACTTTACTTGGTTGCTACCGCCATTCAGATGTGCTCTCTTCATTCCAGTCTCATTGTCCAGGCCACTGCTCCCGCTCAAACAAACATCCTCCTTTGCCTATTTTTGCACTGCATGTGTCCCACCACCACACTCACACCTGCCAGGAGTATATCTAAGTGAGATGACACATCCCTTCCCCATCTAACATGGCTGCTCCTACAATGTACGATGCTTGTTATTTTTTTTTCCCTATCGGCCTACCATGTACGATGCTTGTTATTTTTTTTCCCCTATCGGCCAAGCATGTACGATGCTTGTTATTTTTTTTTCCCATAGCGGCCAAGCATGTACGATGCTTGTTATTTTTTTTTTCCCATAGCGGCCAAGCATGTACGATGCTTGTTATTTTTTTTTCCCCTATCGGCCTAGCATTTGCCAGTCATGTCATAGCAGCCAAGCAAATGTCAAGTATGCCATATGAGCCAACTATTATGTCAAACCATATCAGCCAAACATTTGCCTATCATTCAGTATCACACAAGCATTTTCAGTCATGCCATGCCATATCAGCCAAGCACTCTCCGTCATGCCATATCAACTATGGATTGGTGTTTGTTGGGTTGGGGGGGGGGGGGGGGGGGGGGGGGGGGGGGGGGGGGGGCAACGTTGGTGTGGATCATGTGATGGACTTTGCTATCGCAGGCACACATGTTTCACCATTCCCAAGACCACCGTTCATATCACCATTCCGTTTCATATTTTTGCCTCGTTTTCTCACTGGGCCTTTTTTTGCACTGCACCGCCCTGTCTGCCATTGTATCCGTCCAGCTCGTTCAATGAAGGAGAAAGAAAGGAAGAAAGAAAAAAAAAAACAAGCAAACAAACAAACGGAGCCACGACTCTCCCTTTTCTGTGTGAGCTCAGGATTGGCAAGATGCAGCACAGGCAGCAGAAGGTGGAAGAGGCAGTATGCACAGGTATGTGCCGTGCAGCAACATGATCCATTCCACCTTGCTGCATCGCATCCCAGTCATGCATCGATGTGAGTCATGCATTGTGAATCATGCATTGTGAATCATGCCCTATCAGTCATGTACTGTCAGTTCCAAAACTCAGCTATCCAGAAATGACTGGTTGAGTTGGCCTTGATGCAGCAGATCGCCTCTGGATAAAAATGACTGGTTCGTAACGTATCTGTCGGTGGCACTTATTGACAGCCATGATTGAGTCGAGTTCTAGGGTGTGTGACATGCATCATCAGTCCTGGCAGATCAGTCACACATTGTCGTTCATGACCCATCAGCCAGCCATGTGTTATCAGGGATGAAATGTCAAGCATGCAATTTCACTCATGACATCCACCCTGCATGGTTAATCATGCCATTCCACCCATCCTCACAAATCGTGCATAGATTGTCACTTCTGACATCTCAGTCATCCTGAAGTATTAACTCATACATCGTGAATTATCTCATATCATCCATTACGCACGAGCGAGGGCCGGTTATGTTTCAACCAGGAAGGTGAGGTTTGAGCCACGGCTGGCTCATTACGAAGGTACGGGTAGCCGCGGCTCGTGACCTGACCAGCGACACCCTTTGCTCATGCAACCAGAAGATGGTGGTGATGGCATTGGAGCCTTCGCTCATCTAGGCTGACATGACAGCAGCAGGCAGAGTCATCTCTTCCTTCTCGGTGCATGCATTGGTCGCTTTCTATTGTGGCATCAGCCAGAGATGGGTCAAGCACTCTAGCTACACTACTTTGTTAATAAACGTGAACATGAAGCGTGAACATATGCAAGCTGATGTACTGATATGACCCAGGTGCTCATCTACTGTTTGCAAGTTTCATAGATGCCAACATAGCCGCAGGAACGGCTGCACCGTTTTCTGATGCATTACAAAGGCAATGCAAAGTACCCACACTACTAAACAACAATGTTCCTCTGTAGATGAGCACTTCCATTTGAGGGATTTGCCTGATCAATCTCATGCACCAGATTCAGTAGAAACATCACCACCAGCACCACTGACGCTTCCAACAACACTCCCGAACACATCATTCAGAGCCGTAGATGATGCCAGCGCAGCTTGGACAAGCGCCAGTGCCTGCGTGAAGAGAAGCATGGTATGGTAAGGTATCATTCGAAAACATACACTTGATGGTACCCTATCCTGGAAACGATGCAAGCCCAGCAACTTACTTGGTCCTTGGTCACGTTGATCTCGTAGCTCTCCAAATCTGACATGGACTTCACACCCATACTGCTCAGCGCCTTGATGCTCTTGATAGTGGAGCTGGGGAAGAATTCTAGGTCATCGGTGACCATGAAAGTCACGGTTTCCTTTACAAAGCCTCCAGGATGTCCTGGCGACTGATCGTTATCAGCACGAGTCACAGGCTTGTCCAAAGCAGCAGCGCAGTCAGGGCACACGCTTGTAGCTGTATTTCCCACCCTGTGACGCTGAGCACATGTGTACAACGCCTGTGAAGCATTCACGGTCTCTCCATCAATCTGCTTCACCGTCTGGGTCATGATCTGCTCACAGCTGCCACACTTCACACCTGGAACCAGTGAGATGGACCAATGCTCTGCAGTCGGACAGGTGTAGTAAATGGGGGCCTCCTGGCAGCGAAGGAATCGCAGCTGAGAGGACAGCTCCGTGGGGGAAGGGTCCAGAAGAACATCCTTTTCCACCTTCATGTACGACCTGTCCAGCTTGTCAGCGCTGGTAAAAACGTTGAAAATTCCGACTTTCCGACCTCGGTTCAGATTCCCGGTCTCCTTGAGCAGTTTCAGCAAACTCGCGGTCGGCATACGAAGAAGGGACATGAGAAGATCGACAAAATCCTTCCCAGCCTCCAGATACAATACTTGTCCTTGTGCCTGAAATTCGGAATCATAGAATAAATGAGAAGTGGAATTCGAATGGTAAGAACTATTCTTCAGGCCGAAGCTGCTCACCTTGCTGAACAGGACAATGACCTTCATCGGCGACCCTGTAGAATCAGCCATGGCGACAGAGTCAAAAGCGGTGCTGCGGAATGACGGATCTGGATGAAGAACTGGCAGAAGACGATGGACTAAGAGAACTGCGCAAGTGCTTGTCTGTTCGAGTAGGTGATCGTCTTTGCAAGGTGAGTCCTGTCGAATCTGAATAGCCATGAACGCTTAGGAGACGCATCCTTAATCCACTGGTATGCACGAATGCCAAATCGTCAACCAGGATCCATCAGACTGCTTTCGGGCATGCAGGGAAAGCGTGCGTGCTGATTTCGCCATTTCCAAACCATGTCGTCACTTGCATGTGCTCGGGACCCACGGCCACGCGCTGCTCCACGCTTTCACACCTCGCTTCACCTTTCACGCATGTCTGGTTCCCTGGCTTCACGCCTTACGTTTTCCAGGCTCGGACTCGAAGCGTGAGGGAGGGAACATGTGAGTTAGCATCAAATCACCTCAGCACAGCATTCCCTATTCCCATCAATTTGAAAAACTCATGGTTCCTATTCTATTGTAACGAGAAGTCAGGATCATCGGTTTCGTAAACAGTTTACTGAAACCAATAACGGATCAAGCCCTCAGCCATGATCGTTCACAAAACAGTCTGGTTCGGAAACACATGAACGGCTTAGATTCGTCTGGAAAAGAGTAGGTAGGCTCGAAGCTGAGCCGAGACCATCCGTGACTGATTGAATACATGACGAGCGGCTCAGATTGAGTTAGAAGGATACCAGACCACTCAATAGGGTATTTTGAAGGATTTTTATACAGGCCGTCACAAAACATTTCGAAGTTATCACGAGCAGTCACATGTTCCGCCAAATCTATCACGGACAGTCACAAAATCTGCCAAATCTATCACGAACCATCACACGGGTATCACCCGCCGTCACTCAAAGGCACTAATTTCTATCACGGGTAGTCACACTCGAAACTTTGCCCGTGATAGAAATTAGTGCCTTTGAGTGACGGCGGGTGATACCCGTGTGATGGTTCGTGATAGATTTGGCAGATTTTGTGACTGTCCGTGATAGATTTGGCGGAACATGTGACTGCTCGTGAGAACTCCGAAATGTTTTGTGACGGCCCGTATAAAAACCCTATTTCGAACGACTCAAATCAACGAATGGTTGAGACTCCCAGCGAATCTGAACGACATTCTTCGTATGGTGTAACGACGTACATTCATTTGTCCTCACACCATTCCACCTCCGCACCAAATCGTCCCGCGACTTGTGTGTTACATTCGCCGAAGCAGAAATATTTTCGTCAACACCTGGCAGGTGAATCTGCAGGCAAGTGATCCTATCTGACGACCTTGAGCTTTATCGTCTGTACTGACCGCCCACAACCTGCTGTTTGTTCGTTCTCTGCCATTGTTACTGTTCGGTTCGGACATAAGCGCCATTGCGCTCCGACACCCCGCCCTCCTATCCTATCTCACCTCGCTCACCTCACCTCACCAAAGCCCACTTCTGCTCAGCTCCGCTCTTCCCATATCCACCTCCCCTTGCTGGAAAATCCAGTCCTTAGTCTACCCTATCGGAGACCAGAGAATATAGAAGCCCCTGCTCTGTTGCGAGCCGCCATTCCAGATGCAACCTGAACGTTCACATGCGCGCACTCGAGCTCCGGAAAAACTAGCGCTTGCCGCCCAGTCCTTCGCGATGAACCACTCCACAGCCCTCCTCTCCATTCACTCGCCCATTCAAAGCTGGTTGCGCGATGAATCTGCCGTTAGGAACAGACGACGCCTGTCATTCGCGCAACGGCTCGGCCGGCTGGAAACTGGATGGGTTAGGATACAAGCATCCGGGTGTTATTCCGCTTGAAGGGAGGGTGGATAGTAGAGATCCTGTGAGTTACGAAATCTACGAACGTATCACCAGCTCCGCTGTCCCACTTCGTTGGAAAGTTCTACTCAAATAATCTGACAATTGCTGCACAGCAGCAAACATGGCATCCGTCCTCCCTTTCCTCCTACTCCTCCTCGTTCCTCACAGCATCGACGCTCGACCCACCGTCGACGCCTTACTCCCCGCCTTCCGCTCGGCGCGGGTCCTCCAATTATGCACGGGCGCGTCGCAGCCCTGCCCCGGCGGCCGCGGCGGCTGCGTCGCAACGTCGCGCCTGTGCGACGGCGCGCCCGACTGCAGCGACGCGAGCGACGAGGGCGTCGACTTCTGCGAGGCGTTGTATCCGCCGTACGAGCCATACGAGGAGGGCAATGTGTGCAACCCCGAGCAGTTCCAGCTCTACTGCCCCAGCGGCGGCGGATGCATGCAGGAATCGGAGGCGTGCGACGGCAAGCCCAACTGCTCCGACGGAAGCGACGAGTCGCTGACGTTCTGCAAGAATTTCGTCTGCGACAACGTTGGGAGGGTGCGTGCTTGTGCTGGTAGCGATGTGATCATCGTTGCTGCTAGCGAAACTCGCTGTCCGCGAGGCATGCGTTGCATACACTAAGGATTCTGAGAGCTCCGCTGATGGATTATCTCTCCCAAGCATTGTTTCCTTCCCTGCGTCCTCGTCCTCCTAAGCATTATCTTCGCTGAACCGTTTGCCCCTCCCCCCAATTCAACTACCCCCCACCCCTCACCCGCGCCACACCTTCCCCTCCCCCTTTCTTCTCCCTTTCCCCGTCAGAACCACCCCACACCCCCTCTCCCTCCCTTCCCCATCCGCTCCCCCCCACTCTGTTATATTCTTCCCTGCCCGTTCTCTCCCATCCTGTCTGTTGTTTTCTTCCCTACAATCTCTCTCCCCCTTTTGGGTTTCCTTCATCCCTCCCCTCTCTCACCACCATATGTGATTCAATCTTCTCTCCCTGTTATCTACTCCACCCCGTATTTCCTTCGTCCCTGCCCGTCCCCTTCCCCTCCTCTGTCTTTCCTTCGCGCGCTCTCATTCCCCACCAGGCCTACTGCCCATCCAAGGTCGGCTGCATGCCTCCAGGCGGCGAGTGCAACGGCGTGGTCGACTGTGATCTCTCCCCACTCTGCGTTCCCCTCTTTCCTGCCCGTTCCCTTTCCCCCTCTATGTCTTTCGCCCCTGTCCCTTCCCTCCCCCCCTGTCTATTTCCTTCTTCCCTGCCTGCTCGCATTCCCCACCAGGCCTACTGCCCATCGAAGGTCGGCTGCATGCCTCCTGGCGGCGAGTGCAACGGCGTGGTCGACTGTGCGGACGGCAGCGACGAGGGACCGCAATGCCCCGGCTATCAAGGCGGCTCGTCTGGCAGTGGTGGCACGTCAACAACGAACAGCACTGCCCCTGGCTCTGGTGGCGGTGGTTCGACTGACACGTCAACGAACGGCACTGCTCCTGGTGGCGGGTCCGCAGGCGGAGGCGGGTCGTCATCGGGAGGCGGGTCGTCATCGGGAGGCGGGTCGTCATCGGGAGGGGGGTCGTCATCGGGAGGCGGGTCGTCATCGGGAGGCGGGTCGGTGACCGGAGGCCCTGCTGTGTTGAGTCCGGAGGAAAAAAAGGCTGCTTTGGAGGAAAAGAAGAGGAAGCAGGCAGAGAAGGCGGCGGCGATTGCTGAGAAGAAGCGGAAGCAGGAGGAGAAAGCTGCTGCGATCGCGGAAAAGAAGAGGAAGCAGGAGGAAAAAGCGGCTGCAATTGCGGAAAAGAAGCGGAAGCAGGAAGAGAAGGCGGCTGCGATTGCGGAAAAGAAGAGGTTGCAAGAAGCCAAGGCTGCTGCTATTGCTGAGAAGAAGCGGAAACAGGCTGAGAAGGTGGCTGCAATTGAAGCAAAGAAGAAGCAGGCTGAGAGGGCGGCTGCTATTGAGGCTAAGAAATCAAGTGCAGCAGCAGGTGTGAGCAAGTGAAGAGGAACAGCTGCACAAAATTAGCGACGTTTTCGAATAAAGGTTGCCCCTATTTTGTCAGGTGAAATCCTGTCGGACAGTTTTCCCTTCATTTCTCCATCGTAATGCTTTGTTTTTGCCTGTGCTGATGCTCTCAGCATCACACCTCTAATGAAACTACCGGTAGCTTTTGGAGTTGCCAACCTACGATATGTATTATGCATACCAACACATTGACGGAGGTCTATTTCAGTCACCTAGAAATTGTTGGGAAAAATTGCGCGACGCGACAGACCGCGAACTTCTCTCAAACCCATCGACCAAGCTCGCACCGCAGGTAGGGCGAACCGAGCCTCGGCCAAATGGGTCGACCTACATGCTCTTTCACGTTATTTTCATGCTGCGAAAGCGGTTTAACTAGGCGTTACAGGTGCCATTTGGTTTTACGGTCAGAATCGCGAAATTACAGCTTGAGGTTCCGAATCTTCCAATAAAAATATTTGGTTTCGCTACACGACCCTACCGAGTGAGTCAGCATGCTAACCGTGGGCAAACAAAATAAACCCCATGGCTTACGGCATGCCATTCGGGAGCCTCAACCCTAAAATTTTAGGGTTGAGGCTCCCGAATGGCATGCCATCCGGATGGGGTTTATTTTTTTCTTGCCCGCGAATATATATTCCAGTAAACAAGAAACGTGGCACGTGCGCCAAACATAATCGCGCTTCCGAAACAATGACATCGAGAGGGACCACCGACTCTTATGCATCAGAATTGTCTGTCTTTATCGCAAAAGCGCATGTAGGTCGATCCATCTGGCCGAGGTTCGGATCGCCCTACCTGCGGTGCGAGCTTGGTCGATGGGTTTGAGAAAAGTTCGCAGTCTGTCGCGTCGCGCAAGGTTTCCAAATTGTTGTCAATGGAGAATGGATAGATGGGTACGTACGATAAGGGACGTGATGGAAGAGTTCAGTTCCACTGGGGCACACTATATTGTTCCTTTCCTACATCCAAAGAGCCTGGTACTCTAAGGGCGTGATCCAGTTCGGGTCAAGAATCAGTTGGGGTTCCGAGTTTCTCGGACGACCAATGGTATTCGAGTAATGGAGCTGAAATGCACCCTATTGGTCGTCCAAGAAGTTCGGATGACATGTACAGTCTCTTGACCCGAACTAGGACACGCCCTCAAGGCTCAACCTTGAAGTGAGTGGCTGCGACTACACAAGATGCTCAACCCCTGCACGCAAATCTAGCCTGTACAGGATGGAAAGTCTACATTCGTGTTTTTTGGACCAGCCAGTTGCACCCACATTACAAGCCCCTCGAGTATGCTGCAGTCGTTATGAACCAATAGTAACGAAGAGACCGATGTCAAATGGAAAAAACCGAAGTCAAAATGTCAACGGATAAGTTAAAGTTTTTAGAAGCCTAATTTTGCTAGCTGCAAATTGACGAGACCTGTGCGAAGCGCAAAAAAACTTAAGCGCCCTCTTCACAAGGGAAACGTGGGATACTCGAACGAGCATCCGGTGTATCTGAAAGTTGAAGTGCGAGAAAATGCTCGGAGGCTGTTCCTGTGGAAATAATCACGCGACGCGACGATTTTCAACTTTTGCTCAATCCTGTGGACTAGCTTTGCGCCGCCCTCCACGTTTTTGAATATGTATCAATCTCATGGACTGCCACTTGTTGCTACACCCGCCAACACAGAGCTGTTGTCCTGCGTATTCGTTGTTCTCGAGTTTAGGGTCCCTAACAGGCCGCGCTTTTGCGAGAAATCGTATCTGACGCAATCCCACTGCAATGATTGCAAACCCAGCGTGGTTGTCTTTTTGCGCGTCTGCATCTATGATCCATGGACAGTGGCACGATGGCGGAAGATTTTGACCGCGGGCAAAAAAAATAAACCCCATGGCTTACGGCATGCCATTCGGGAGCCTCAACCCTAAAATTTTAGGGTTGAGGCTCCCTCGGATGGCATGCCATCTGAGTGGGTTTTTAGTTTTTTTTCTTGCCCGCGGTCAGCTTGCTGACTCGATTGCACTGTCTGCTCACGCAGGCAGTGCATTATATATTCTAAAAAATAAAACAGAAACAAGGTGGGGTAAACCATGGCTGTTTGATAATGTAACTTCCAACCAAACAGTCTCAACACTCTTTCCAGAGTAAGTGTAAAAATACCGCGAAAGCGCATGTATTAGTCCATGGGATTGATAGATATTCAAAAACGTGGAGGGCGGCGCGAGGCTAGTCCACAGGATTGAGCGAAAGTTGAAAGTCGTCGCGCCGCGTGATTATTTCATTCCTGTGTCTGCTGACATCGGGGTTGACGGGACAGGGTAGGGTGAGGATGAACCAATTTTAGGGCCCATTCCGTGCTCTAGTCACTTTGTGCGAAGGATATTTCGTCCGTGCGAAGATTGGGTGTGAGTTGGCGAAAACAGACGTGACCAGCACTGGTCTTCGATTGAAACTGGGTTCGCTCACTCGCAAAGGAACAGCGCGAACCCCTATTTCCGCTGCCTGGTGCGTGTCCATCGCGTTCATTCTCGTTCAAGTCCAACGAACGAACGAATACGAACGAACGCGACAAGTCAACGCTCTGTTCCTGTGCTTGCTTGAGAAACCACCTCAACGACATATTTTCGCCTGGGCCGTCCAGGGTTACACGACTAAGAGCATAGTCGAGCCGCGCTAATCTGTATTAGAGCTAATCTCCAGCTCAATTTCCGAAAGCGACAAGCATGTAATTAGTCTGACGAGTCGTTCCGAACAGCGTCCGCGGAAGGAATTACGTAGGTGCATGGAACGTACACACAAACTACTATTCAGTGTGGTCAAGAAGGTGAGTAAAGCCACGTCACCGCGCCTGCCCAGGCGCCTCGCCGTGCCTCAAGTCGTCGCACCTTCCCTGGTCACACCACCCCTATCATCGTCGCGTTTCCACTCGCTAGACGCACCTTCCCACCGCTTGACGCACCTTCCCGTCGTTGGACGCACCTTCCCACCGTTTGATGCACTTTCCGCGCCTCTCCTTCCATAGTCACGCCTCCCATCACCGAGCGTCCCCGCTCCTATTCGCGCCACCCCTCCCCGCGTCACCCCCTCATCGCGCCACCCCTCGCCGCGTCGCGTCTCCCCTCGTCGCGCCGTCTCCTCCGTCGTAGTCGCGCGCACCTCGTCGCGCCTCCCCTCCTTTCGTTGCGCCCCCCTCTCGTCGCGCCTCACATTCCCGCGTCGCGCCTCATCTACCCTCGTAGCGCCTACCCTCCTCGGGCCTACCCTTCCCCTCTATTTCCATTTCTTTCCTTCTCATCCTTCCCCCCACCCTCCCCCCCCAACCTGCCCGTCCCATGCTGTAGACAATCCCATTCCTCCTCTTCCCTCCCCTTATCATCCCTTCCCTTCCTTTCCCCCTCGCTTCCATTCCTCCTCACTTCCATTCCATTCCCATCCCATCCTTTCAACAGCTGTGAGCTATATCAACGAAAGCTCTCAACCTTGTCCCGCTCCTCTCCCGCTCCTCTCCCGCTCCTCTCCCCGCTCCCCTCCCCGCTCCCCTCCCCGCTCCCCTCCCCGCTCCCCTCCCCGCTCCCCTCCCCGCTCCCCTCCCCGCTCCTCTCCCGCTCCTCTCCCCGCTCCCCTCCCCGCTACCCTCCGCACTCCTCTTCCTTCACGGGTCCTCCAACTCATCTTCTCCCCTCCTCCCTCCAGGGCACGTCAAGCTGGGCGGATCCAGCGCGCTTGAAGCGTGGGCGGGGCGGTTGCGCCGGAACTGCAGTTTTTTTCTGAGAAATCTCAAAAACAACCTGCAGCAGCGTGGCTGGTTGCGCCGGAACCGCCCTTCAAGCGTGCTCCTGTGGGCTGACTGACTCAACTGCACGCAAGGGAAGGATCTTTATAGTGGCGTCCGATTGCATCCTCTATCCGCCCCTACAGCAGGTGAGTGCGCGCAGTGCAGCCCCTACAGCAGGTGAGTGCGCGCAGTGCAGCCCCTACAGCAGGTGAGTGCGCGCAGTGCAGCCCCTACAGCAGGTGAGTGCGCGCAGTGCAGCTCCTACAGCAGGTGAGTGCGCGCAGTGCAGCCCCTACAGCAGGTGAGTGCGCGCAGTGCAGCCCCTAGGGTCTTACCAGGTGGTCTATGGGCCCAATTCCTCCTTTCCAGGCCTGCTGCGCTCGTCCCTCCAGCTTCTCTTCCTCGCCCTTCTTCTCCCTTCCCTTCCCTTCCCTTCCCTTCCCTTCCCTTCCCTTCCCTTCCCTTCCCTTCCCTTCCCTTCCCTTCCCTTCTCTTCCCTTCACTGCCCCTCCATATGTACCCTACCAGCGCTACCTGCCTTCCCCTTCTCTTCCCTTCCCTTCACTGCCCCCTGCTTCCCCAACCGTCTGCCTCCCCAACCGTCTGCCTCCCCAACCGTCTGCCTCCCCAACCGTCTGCCTCCCCAACCCCCTGCCTCCCCTGCCCCCCTGCCTCCCCAACTCCCTACTCCAAGCCAATGGACCTAGAAGCGGTGGTGGGATTGGAGGAGCAGCTGCTAGCACAGGGCCATGCCGAGGGATACCAGTGAGTACATTCGTTCATCAACCCTAATTCCTCTCCCGCCGTTGAACTTCTGCATTCAACCAAGCTGTTTCCACCCTACTTTGTAACTTGCATTGTGTGGGCCGCGCTGAGATTATGCAGTGGGGGGGTCTTGAAGTGGTCTCCATCTTGTGCTCGCAGCGCCTCGCTGCTTGTTATTCGCGCCTCGCTGCTGTAACTTACCATGACATTTGCGATTTAATGCGCAAATGAGTTGCCTTGCGCCGGCTCAGTCAGAAGCCAAATTTAATTCTCACAGTATTAGTGCTCGCGAAGTTTCAGTATCTCCTCTCCCTGCAAAGGTGCAAATGCGCAAATGAGTTGGCAAGCATCACATTTTCCCTCTCGTCTCGTCGCCTTCACTTTTCTCCATCTCCGCTTCTCACATCCTCCGTTGCCCTCCTCCGGATCTCATTTCCTCCCTGGCAGGGACGGCTTGCGATTGGGACGGCAAGAGGGGAGAGAAACGGGTTGGGAGCATGGGTTTGGGATAGGTGGGTGACAGCATGGGTTTGGGATAGGTGGGTGACAGCATGGGTTTGGGATAGGTGGGTGACAGCATGGGTTTGGGATAGGTGGGTGACAGCATGGGTTTGGGATAGGTGGGTGACAGCATGGGTTTGGGATAGGTGGGTGACAGCATGGGTTTGGGATAGGTGGGTGACAGCATGGGTTTGGGATAGGTGGGTGACAGCATGGGTTTGGGATAGGTGGGTGACAGCATGGGTTTGGGATAGGTGGGTGACAGCATGGGTTTGGGATAGGTGGGTGACAGCATGGGTTTGGGATAGGTGGGTGACAGCATGGGTTTGGGATAGGTGGGTGACAGCATGGGTTTGGGATAGGTGGGTGACAGCATGGGTTTGGGATAGGTGGGTGACAGCATGGGTTTGGGATAGGTGGGTGACAGCATGGGTTTGGGATAGGTGGGTGACAGCATGGGTTTGGGATAGGTGGGTGACAGCATGGGTTTGGGATAGGTGGGTGACAGCATGGGTTTGGGATAGGTGGGTGACAGCATGGGTTTGGGATAGGTGGGTGACAGCATGGGTTTGGGATAGGTGGGTGACAGCATGGGTTTGGGATAGGTGGGTGACAGCATGGGTTTGGGATAGGTGGGTGACAGCATGGGTTTGGGATAGGTGGGTGACAGCATGGGTTTGGGATAGGTGGGTGACAGCATGGGTTTGGGATAGGTGGGTGACAGCATGGGTTTGGGATAGGTGGGTGACAGCATGGGTTTGGGATAGGTGGGTGACAGCATGGGTTTGGGATAGGTGGGTGACAGCATGGGTTTGGGATAGGTGGGTGACAGCATGGGTTTGGGATAGGTGGGTGACAGCATGGGTTTGGGATAGGTGGGTGACAGCATGGGTTTGGGATAGGTGGGTGACAGCATGGGTTTGGGATAGGTGGGTGACAGCATGGGTTTGGGATAGGTGGGTGACAGCATGGGTTTGGGATAGGTGGGTGACAGCATGGGTTTGGGATAGGTGGGTGACAGCATGGGTTTGGGATAGGTGGGTGACAGCATGGGTTTGGGATAGGTGGGTGACAGCATGGGTTTGGGATAGGTGGGTGACAGCATGGGTTTGGGATAGGTGGGTGACAGCATGGGTTTGGGATAGGTGGGTGACAGCATGGGTTTGGGATAGGTGGGTGACAGCATGGGTTTGGGATAGGTGGGTGACAGCATGGGTTTGGGATAGGTGGGTGACAGCATGGGTTTGGGATAGGTGGGTGACAGCATGGGTTTGGGATAGGTGGGTGACAGCATGGGTTTGGGATAGGTGGGTGACAGCATGGGTTTGGGATAGGTGGGTGACAGCATGGGTTTGGGATAGGTGGGTGACAGCATGGGTTTGGGATAGGTGGGTGACAGCATGGGTTTGGGATAGGTGGGTGACAGCATGGGTTTGGGATAGGTGGGTGACAGCATGGGTTTGGGATAGGTGGGTGACAGCATGGGTTTGGGATAGGTGGGTGACAGCATGGGTTTGGGATAGGTGGGTGACAGCATGGGTTTGGGATAGGTGGGTGACAGCATGGGTTTGGGATAGGTGGGTGACAGCATGGGTTTGGGATAGGTGGGTGACAGCATGGGTTTGGGATAGGTGGGTGACAGCATGGGTTTGGGATAGGTGGGTGACAGCATGGGTTTGGGATAGGTGGGTGACAGCATGGGTTTGGGATAGGTGGGTGACAGCATGGGTTTGGGATAGGTGGGTGACAGCATGGGTTTGGGATAGGTGGGTGACAGCATGGGTTTGGGATAGGTGGGTGACAGCATGGGTTTGGGATAGGTGGGTGACAGCATGGGTTTGGGATAGGTGGGTGACAGCATGGGTTTGGGATAGGTGGGTGACAGCATGGGTTTGGGATAGGTGGGTGACAGCATGGGTTTGGGATAGGTGGGTGACAGCATGGGTTTGGGATAGGTGGGTGACAGCATGGGTTTGGGATAGGTGGGTGACAGCATGGGTTTGGGATAGGTGGGTGACAGCATGGGTTTGGGATAGGTGGGTGACAGCATGGGTTTGGGATAGGTGGGTGACAGCATGGGTTTGGGATAGGTGGGTGACAGCATGGGTTTGGGATAGGTGGGTGACAGCATGGGTTTGGGATAGGTGGGTGACAGCATGGGTTTGGGATAGGTGGGTGACAGCATGGGTTTGGGATAGGTGGGTGACAGCATGGGTTTGGGATAGGTGGGTGACAGCATGGGTTTGGGATAGGTGGGTGACAGCATGGGTTTGGGATAGGTGGGTGACAGCATGGGTTTGGGATAGGTGGGTGACAGCATGGGTTTGGGATAGGTGGGTGACAGCATGGGTTTGGGATAGGTGGGTGACAGCATGGGTTTGGGATAGGTGGGTGACAGCATGGGTTTGGGATAGGTGGGTGAAAGATTGTCAAAAGTGTGTTTAGAATGCACCTTGTGAACCCCCCAAGGTGCATCGTGCATCAGCTTAAGATTCTACGCTCCCATCTCATCTCATCTTGCAGCCCGCCCCATCCCACCCCATCCCATCCCATCCCATCCCATCCCATCCCACCCCATCCCATCCCATCCCATCCCATCCCATCCCATCCCATCCCATCCCATCCCATCCCATCCCATCCCATTTTATCCCATCCCATCCCATCCCATCCCATCCCACCCCACCACACCCCTTCCCACCCCACTCCACCGCATCCCACACCACCACCATCAGGGGACGAGCTGGGCTTCATGTGGGGCTGTGCAGCCGCGTGGGAGCAAGTCATCCAATCAGCCCCCTCCAGACGATTCTCCCCCAGGCAAGACTCCACCTTGAATCCTCACCGTTGGATCCTGCCACTCACTCAGCATCCTTCCATGCTGTCCATCCATTACCGCCCCCTGTTTCTCGCCTCCCTTTCCCTTCTTCGATCCCTCTTATTCCCTTTCTCCCCTCCCATCCCCCCCCTCCTTCCCCACCTACCGAGATAACTAGGGTCCTTGCGCCCTTTTCATGCATCCCGTTGTTTCTCTTGGTTTCCTCTTGTTCCATCTCCTCCCCTTTTTCCAGTGATTTATTTCCATCCCTTCGGCCGCTTCTCTTCCCTCCACGTCCCCCATCCCATCTCCTGTCTCCACGTCCCCCATCCCATCTCCTGTCTCCACGTCCCCCATCCCATGTCCTGTCTCCACGTCCCCCATCCCATGTCCTGTCTCCACGTCCCCCATCCCATCTCCTGTCTCCACGTCCCCCATCCCATGTCCTGTCTCCACGTCCCCCATCCCATGTCCTGTCTCCTCTCCTCCACTCCATACGTTCTTCCCATCCCTCTTCTCGCTCTCTTTCTGAAATGGTAGTCGAGTTTTCCTGCCTCCTGTCTAAGGCTATTCACACAATTTCCTGCCTCCTGTCTAAGGCTACTCACACAATTTCCTGCCTCCTGTCTAAGGCTACTCACACAATTTCCTGCCTCCTGTCTAAGGCTACTCACACAATTTCCTGCCTCCTTATGTTTCCCCACAGCAACCTGTTCCGCGGCTCAGCTTCCTCTTCCCCATTCTTTCCCACTCCAACCATCCCCTTGCTTCCCTCTGCCCCCTTTGTTCATCCCTGCCGTCCCTGCCGTCCCTGCCGTCCCTGCCGTCCCTGCCGTCCCTGCCGTCCCTGCCGTCCCTGCCGTCCCTGCCGTCCCTGCCGTCCCTGCCAACTAATCTCTCCTAGCCCTCTCATCCCCGCCCTCCTTCCCATTCCTCCCAACCTATTTCCCTCTTCCCCCCTCCTCCCTATTCCTCCATCCGCCCATCCCTCCCATTCTTCTTTTCCCCCGGGGGCAACCAAAAGCCGTGCAACAACTGCAGCAGCTCATATCTGACTTCCCCCATTACCATCCCCCCCTCTTCCCCACCCACCCCTGCCACCCCCCCATCCCTCCCATCCCACTCGTTCTTCTTTCACCCTCAGGGCAACCAAAGCCGTGCAGCAGCTGCAGCAGCTCATTTCCGACTTCCCCGTTACCAACCCCGAAGTGAGTGTGCATTCACCTCTTCATCTAAGACCTCTCAAGGCTGCACCTGGAGCTCTCAAGGCTGCACCTGGAGCACGGCTTCAACCGTTGAACTTGCAAGAAGAGCGTCCAGTTGAGCTGCTGCAGCTGGTGCACGGCTTTGGTTGCCCAGCTGGTGCACGGCTTTGGTTGCCCAGCTGGTGCACGGCTTTGGTTGCCCTCAAGGGGAGAAGAATGGGAGGGATGGGAGGGATGAGAGCTCCTTGCGGGGCTGGAAGTGTTTTCAAAACCTCAGATTGGGCAGGTATTTTTCACGCTGCGACACCACACCACATCACGTCTCTCCTACCAACAGCCTGCATGCGTATTTCTCCTCTCCCTTCCATCCCTTCCCCTTCATTTTCTCCCAGGCATCCCCTTTTTCCTTTTCCATTCCCTAGTCCTCGTCCCTCTCCCATCTTCCACTCCATCGTTCAAGCCCCTCTTTCTTTTTGTTCAAGCCCCTCTTTCTTTTTGTTCAAGCCCCTCTTTCTTTTTGTTCAAGCGCCTCTTTCTTTTTGTTCAAGCCCCTCTTTCTTTTTGTTCAAGCCCCTCTTTCTTTTTGTTCAAGCCCCTCTTTCTTTTTGTTCAAGCCCCTCTTTCTTTTTGTTCAAGCCCCTCTTTCTTTTTGTTCAAGCCCCTCTTTCTTTTTGTTCAAGCCCCTCTTTCTTTTTGTTCAAGCCCCTCTTTCTTTTTGTTCAAGCCCCTCTTTCTTTTTGTTCAAGCCCCTCTTTCTTTTTGTTCAAGCCCCTCTTTCTTTTTGTTCAAGCCCCTCTTTCTTTTTGTTCAAGCCCCTCTTTCTTTTTGTTCAAGCCCCTCTTTCTTTTTGTTCAAGCCCCTCTTTCTTTTTGTTCAAGCCCCTCTTTCTTTTTGTTCAAGCCCCTCTTTCTTTTTGTTCAAGCCCCTCTTTCTTTTTGTTCAAGCCCCTCTTTCTTTTTGTTCAAGCCCCTCTTTCTTTTTGTTCAAGCCCCTCTTTCTTTTTGTTCAAGCCCCTCTTTCTTTTTGTTCAAGCCCCTCTTTCTTTTTGTTCAAGCCCCTCTTTCTTTTTGTTCAAGCCCCTCTTTCTTTTTGTTCAAGCCCCTCTTTCTTTTTGTTCAAGCCCCTCTTTCTTTTTGTTCAAGCCCCTCTTTCTTTTTGTTCAAGCCCCTCTTTCTTTTTGTTCAAGCCCCTCTTTCTTTTTGTTCAAGCCCCTCTTTCTTTTTGATGCACCCCATCTGCTCCATCCCTCAGCAGTCTCTCCACTTGTCACTACACTTGTCACTACACTTGTCACTACACTTGTCACTACACTTGTCACTACACTTGTCACTACACTTGTCACAACACTTGTCACTGCACTTGTCACTGCACTTGTCACTGCACTTGTCACTGCACTTGTCACTGCACTTGTCACTGCACTTGTCACTGCACTTGTCACTGCACTTGTCACTGCACTTGTCACTGCACTTGTCACTGCACTTGTCACTGCACTTGTCACTGCACTTGTCACTGCACTTGTCACTGCACTTGTCACTGCACTTGTCACTGCACTTGTCACTGCACTTGTCACTGCACTTGTCACTGCACTTGTCACTGCACTTGTCACTGCACTTGTCACTGCACTTGTCACTGCACTTGTCACTGCACTTGTCACTGCACTTGTCACTGCACTTGTCACTGCACTTGTCACTGCACTTGTCACTGCACTTGTCACTGCACTTGTCACTGCACTTGTCACTGCACTTGTCACTGCACTTGTCACTGCACTTGTCACTGCACTTGTCACTGCACTTGTCACTGCACTTGTCACTGCACTTGTCACTGCACTTGTCACTGCACTTGTCACTGCACTTGTCACAGGATGATCAATCTGACTGTCTCCTTGCGCACATCAGGGCTCGGTTCCGCCTCACCCGCTCGTGCTCACCCAGCCATGCTCACCCAGCCATGCTCACCCAGCCATGCCCACCCAGCCATGCCCACCCAGCCATGCTCACCCAGCCACTCGCTACCCATCTCTTACCATCAGTGCCCGCTTTCTGCCCCACTTCACTTGTCGCTTCACGTGTCACAGGACGACCGATTTGACACCCTCCTTGCGCACATCAGGGCTCGATTCCGCCTCACCTGCTCCCTCATGGGCCAGCCGCACCTGGCTGCTTCCCTGCAATCGCACGCTTCTCAGCATACCAGCAGCTTGGAGTTCTGATGCGCTTCTGAGGCATCACAAAGCAATGGTTTACTGCACACGGTTCCCCTCATGGCCCAACCACTCCTTGCTGCTTCCCTTCCCTGCAATCGCACCCGTCTCAGCATACCAGCAGCAGCAGCTTAGAGTTCTGATATTCCTGCGAACGCTCAAACAATTTATTCTTCACACTGATCTGCAAAGTGTACCATGTACGGTGATTTTTCGCTCAACTTATGCTGTACTGCCCTGCCTCTACCCCTTGTGTTCTGTCCTCATCAACCACCCTCCAATAGCAATAATTAGATCAGCATTCGTTCAAAGCAACGGACCTAGGCCACTTTGGGACAAAAGCACAGGACTGTCTCACATCCCATCACAAACACCTTATTCCAATAGCACAGGGCGAAATGGAAGACCCTACAGAAATAATTATCTTGAAATCAGCAAATCCGCACAGATAGGGGTTAGAGGTGAGATAGAGGTGGCCTCCTGCGGCGGCGGCAGGAACTTTCAACCTGGTAGCAGTTGAGCAAGAAACATCAGCAACGGTGTGTTAGACATGATAAGTGAAACAAACGGGTAGTGTATCAGTAAAGATTATACATACCTGAACTTCTCGCCAAGACGCGAAAAGCTGTGCAGCAATTTCGCGCCCCTGTAATTACACTTCTGTAAGTGTTCTCGAGAAGCCATTAAAATAACCTTCTTTTTCGGATCCGCTCCCGAGTTTGTCATCTCTGTGGTGAGGGATAGTTGAAACCACACTGGCATGGATTAGGTGCGAGCGAGCGAGCGAGAGAAGGAGCAAGAGAGAGCAAGAGAGTGACACCCACCGATCACATCAGAGGGCTTCACCTTGCCGAGTTTTTTCCAACCGGACCAAAATGAGAATTTCACATGATGAGTCTTAACCTGTAGCAAACGACAAAGGGATAAGGCTTTTTCTTTGGCACTAGGAGAAACACAGGATTCCAGGCTGGTCAAGCAAACAGCTGATGCTGCAAAGTGTTGTGATCAACCAAAGGACACGGCTTGCCATGCCACACTTCTGATACCTTGGGTCTGCCCCATTGCTGGTCTGCGTTTCACGGCCTCAAGAGCCAGTGGGCATTGCAAAACGTACCGTGTGCCTGTGCTTAGTGGAATTGCGTACTGTACCGTGTGCCGCACTTAGCGTCCCATAACCAGGGCCTGCGCTTAGTGGGCTAGCTACCGTACCCTGGCGCTGCTCTTAGCATACCGTACCACGTGCTTGCAATTACTGGGCTTGATTACCGCACCTTGGGCCTGATCTGAGTGGGTTTGCTGGTGGAGCTGGTGTCGCCAGTGGGGGTGCGCTTGCCGGTAGTGCTGTCGTCTCCAGCGGTAGGGTTTGGATTCGGCACCATGCGTACCGCCTCTGAACCTGCGGACACACCACACGAGCAACGACATGTAAGGGAGGAGGGACGAGGTAGGAAAGATATATTGTTTGAGCTCTAGAGAATCTGCAGCACCAGCGGCATGGGCGAAACGTGAGGAAATGCTTTTGACGAGCGGCGGAAGGAGTGAGAGAAAGAGAAAGAGAACGAGAGTGAGTGATATGGAATGATATGGTTACCAGGGCAGGTGGGCTTACCACAGAGCAGGGCGAGAATCAGACAAGCAGCCACGCCGAGAGCTGAAAGCCGCTTCATGATTGCGTGAAGTGTAGCAGGAGCGGGTATGATTGCGCTCGGGTATGATTGCGCTCGGGTATGATTGCGCTCGGGTATGATTGCGCTCGGGTATGATTGCGCTCGGGTATGATTGCGCTCGGGTATGATTGCGCTCGGGTATGATTGCGCTCGGGTATGATTGCGCTCGGGTATGATTGCGCTCGGGTATGATTGCGCTCGGGTATGATTGCGCTCGGGTATGATTGCGCTCGGGTATGATTGCGCTCGGGTATGATTGCGCTCGGGTATGATTGCGCTCGGGTATGATTGCGCTCGGGTATGATTGCGCTCGGGTATGATTGCGCTCGGGTATGATTGCGCTCGGGTATGATTGCGCTCGGGTATGATTGCGCTCGGGTATGATTGCGCTCGGGTATGATTGCGCTCGGGTATGATTGCGCTCGGGTATGATTGCGCTCGGGTATGATTGCGCTCGGGTATGATTGCGCTCGGGTATGATTGCGCTCGGGTATGATTGCGCTCGGGTATGATTGCGCTCGGGTATGATTGCGCTCGGGTATGATTGCGCTCGGGTATGATTGCGCTCGGGTATGATTGCGCTCGGGTATGATTGCGCTCGGGTATGATTGCGCTCGGGTATGATTGCGCTCGGGTATGATTGCGCTCGGGTATGATTGCGCTCGGGTATGATTGCGCTCGGGTATGATTGCGCTCGGGTATGATTGCGCTCGGGTATGATTGCGCTCGGGTATGATTGCGCTCGGGTATGATTGCGCTCGGGTATGATTGCGCTCGGGTATGATTGCGCTCGGGTATGATTGCGCTCGGGTATGATTGCGCTCGGGTATGATTGCGCTCGGGTATGATTGCGCTCGGGTATGATTGCGCTCGGGTATGATTGCGCTCGGGTATGATTGCGCTCGGGTATGATTGCGCTCGGGTATGATTGCGCTCGGGTAGGATTGCGCTCGGGTAGGATTGCGCTCGGGTAGGATTGCGCTCGGGTAGGATTGCGCTCGGGTAGGATTGCGCTCGGGTAGGATTGCGCTCGGGTAGGATTGCGCTCGGGTAGGATTGCGCTCGGGTAGGATTGCGCTCGGGTAGGATTGCGCTCGGGTAGGATTGCGCTCGGGTAGGATTGCGCTCGGGTAGGATTGCGCTCGGGTAGGATTGCGCTCGGGTAGGATTGCGCTCGGGTAGGATTGCGCTCGGGTAGGATTGCGCTCGGGTAGGATTGCGCTCGGGTAGGATTGCGCTCGGGTAGGATTGCGCTCGGGTAGGATTGCGCTCGGGTAGGATTGCGCTCGGGTATGATTGCGCTCGGGTATGATTGCGCTCGGGTATGATTGCGCTCGGGTATGATTGCGCTCGGGTATGATTGCGCTCGGGTATGATTGCGCTCGGGTATGATTGCGCTCGGGTATGATTGCGCTCGGGTATGATTGCGCTCGGGTATGATTGCGCCCGGGTATGATTGCGCCCGGGTATGATTGCGCCCGGGTATGATTGCGCCCGGGTATGATTGCGCCCGGGTATGATTGCGCCCGGGTATGATTGCGCCCGGGTATGATTGCGCCCGGGTATGATTGCGCCCGGGTATGATTGCGCCCGGGTATGATTGCGCCCGGGTATGATTGCGCCCGGGTATGATTGCGCCCGGGTATGATTGCGCCCGGGTATGATTGCGCCCGGGTATGATTGCGCCCGGGTATGATTGCGCCCGGGTATGATTGCGCCCGGGTATGATTGCGCCCGGGTATGATTGCGCCCGGGTATGATTGCGCCCGGGTATGATTGCGCCCGGGTATGATTGCGCCCGGGTATGATTGCGCCCGGGTATGATTGCGCCCGGGTATGATTGCGCCCGGGTATGATTGCGCCCGGGTATGATTGCGCCCGGGTATGATTGCGCCCGGGTATGATTGCGCCCGGGTATGATTGCGCCCGGGTATGATTGCGCCCGGGTATGATTGCGCCCGGGTATGATTGCGCCCGGGTATGATTGCGCCCGGGTATGATTGCGCCCGGGTATGATTGCGCCCGGGTATGATTGCGCCCGGGTATGATTGCGCCCGGGTATGATTGCGCCCGGGTATGATTGCGCCCGGGTATGATTGCGCCCGGGTATGATTGCGCCCGGGTATGATTGCGCCCGGGTATGATTGCGCCCGGGTATGATTGCGCCCGGGTATGATTGCGCCCGGGTATGATTGCGCCCGGGTATGATTGCGCCCGGGTATGATTGCGCCCGGGTATGATTGCGCCCGGGTATGATTGCGCCCGGGTATGATTGCGCCCGGGTATGATTGCGCCCGGGTATGATTGCGCCCGGGTATGATTGCGCCCGGGTATGATTGCGCCCGGGTATGATTGCGCCCGGGTATGATTGCGCCCGGGTATGATTGCGCCCGGGTATGATTGCGCCCGGGTATGATTGCGCCCGGGTATGATTGCGCCCGGGTATGATTGCGCCCGGGTATGATTGCGCCCGGGTATGATTGCGCCCGGGTATGATTGCGCCCGGGTATGATTGCGCCCGGGTATGATTGCGCCCGGGTATGATTGCGCCCGGGTATGATTGCGCCCGGGTATGATTGCGCCCGGGTATGATTGCGCCCGGGTATGATTGCGCCCGGGTATGATTGCGCCCGGGTATGATTGCGCCCGGGTATGATTGCGCCCGGGTATGATTGCGCCCGGGTATGATTGCGCCCGGGTATGATTGCGCCCGGGTATGATTGCGCCCGGGTATGATTGCGCCCGGGTATGATTGCGCCCGGGTATGATTGCGCCCGGGTATGATTGCGCCCGGGTATGATTGCGCCCGGGTATGATTGCGCCCGGGTATGATTGCGCCCGGGTATGATTGCGCCCGGGTATGATTGCGCCCGGGTATGATTGCGCCCGGGTATGATTGCGCCCGGGTATGATTGCGCCCGGGTATGATTGCGCCCGGGTATGATTGCGCCCGGGTATGATTGCGCCCGGGTATGATTGCGCCCGGGTATGATTGCGC